CGTAGTGATCTTGTCCAGTTCGAAGTGAATTACTGACTAGAATGTTTAGAGAAACAAAACAAATTTCCAATGAATAATATGCAATATCGACTCTGCTGTGTTTGGTTTTTATACCATTCTTGGAATCTGTCGTGAAATTATTTTTGGGGAGGAGAGAAATGTAAACTGACGTCACGTGCAAATACTCATTTAAACCCCATTTTAACTTCTTTGCACTCTTGCGCTGCCGATCTTTCTTGATTCAATCGTCAGTTACATTCGTAAAAAAGCTAGCGCTTTTGTCTTAACGGGAAATTTAAACATGAAGTAGGCATAAACAAATATGTCGCACTGGCTTCAAAAGCAACACTTTACTTTGTTTCATCTTCTGCTGAACCCCAGTGGGCGGCTTGGAGCTGTGACACGGCACTGGCAACGCATTCTTAGGCATCGCAGAGTAGGCGTCAAAGAGTTCGATAGTAAAAGGAGCGTAGCCTTTGCCCTTAAAGTAATGTTCATGTTTTGCACAAGTGATACAATATTTATGTACCAATAAAGTTTTCAAGCGTGATATTTAATAAATAAATTCGTAGCATGCTTGGAGAAATTACGCTTCTGGTTGGGAACATTGTCGTTGCAGTCACGTTCGTTTATTCAACGCTCATGGCACCATTCGCGATGTGATGTACTGCAAAAAGAAATGTTTTCCTCAAGATGGAAGTTTTCATTTAAAAGTTATTATGTGCAAACTGAAACTAAATTAAATATTTATTGAAAGTAATATTATAATCTTTAATACACTCTAAAAAACGCCCGTGCGTCTACTTTTCCGCAAAACCTCGGAGAGCCAATCACCGCAACTTACGGAGGCAGCTCAGCGAGTGACAATGCCGAAACATATGTTTAGACAAAAAAACGCAGTCTGAGTTGTGACATTAAGCAATGCAAAACGTCACGCTTGCATTGCTTAATGTCACAACTCAGACTGCGTTTTGTGGTCTAAACATATGTTTCGGCATTGTCACTCGCTGAGCTGCCTCCGTAAGTTGCGGTGATTGGCTCTACGAGTGTTGTGCGGGAAAGCAGACGCACGGGCTTTTTTTAGAGTGTATGTCCTTGTTCTTTGTTTAAATGTCACCTGACAAATGTAACTGCGCTCTCAACTTCGCAGGCGCGCCTTTGCCAGGTGCTGATGTTTCCTTCGCCCGTCCGCTTCCAGACAGTCTTTATTAAAAAAATCCACCCTTCACTCTAAGAAATGCCTCCGTGTCTACTTACCCGCAAAACACTCGAAGAGCCAATCTCTACACTCTACGAAATCAACTCAGCGAATGATGAGGCGGAACATCTGTTTAGACCTCAAAATTAAGTCAGGCTGTGGCATTACGCAATGCATGCATGACGCTTTGCATTTCGCAATGCCACAGCGCAGACTTCATATTTAGGTCTAAACCAGGGGTGGCCAGGCTGACCCGGCCTAAGAGCCGCAAAGGAAACCACATTAATGCCTAAAAAATAGTCAGAGTGCAGGCGAGCTGGTGTAAGTTGAACATGATTGTAAACCTGAGACTGGGGCAGAAAGAGAACACAACAGGAGGTAGTAAAAGAGGAGGTAACGTCTCAATCGAGACGTTGCCTCCTCTTTTGCTACATTCTGTTGTGTTCTCTTTCTGCCCCAGCCTCAGGTTTACAATCATGTTCAACCAATGCCTAGTTACCCCCTCTCCCCCCCCCCCCCCCCCCTTCCTTGAAAGCGTAACTAAGCAGCTTGCGGGTCACAGCTGCAAGCCGGTAAATACAACAATGATATTGTTCCTGGTCCTTTGTGAACTTGAACATAACGTCTGTGACTAGTGGAAGCTATGAATGAGGTCAACCCGGCCTTCCGCGACCTTCAACAACAAGCGATATGGAGGGAACAACCGTTACCTAAAGGGGACAAGTTTCACCGGCGAGTGACACAGGCCGCGATACAGAACATTTCCTCGACCCCAAGAAAAGTGCACGGATGTTTTGACAGTCCCTGTCCTTGATGACTTTCCGATTAGGGTCCGGCAAACTCTCTTGAACAATGAAAGAACCAGGATCTGTGGAAACATACGAGTGAAAAGCGGTTGGACTGTGCGTATGGCGACTGTACGCATGGGGTGGCTGCCAAAATGCAAGCTGTTCTTTATTCTGAAATCCTTTCCTTCTTTCCTGGGGACACGCGGAGAAAGGCGGGGGGGGGGGGGGGGGGGGGGGGGGGGGGCTCTAACAAGGCATCCGCGAGCCACACCGTGACCAGCAAAGAGCCGCGGTTTGGCCACCCCTGGTCTAAACGGATGTTCCGCCTCATTATTCGCTGAGCTGATTTCGTAGATCGCAGATATTGGCCTCTTTAAGTGTTTTGCGAGTAAGTGGACGCACAGGCATTTCTTTGAGTGTTGGAAAAGAAGCGGGACAGATCGTGCTGCTACACTCTAAAAAAAGCCCGTGACTCTACATTCCCGCACAATACTCAGAGAGCCAATCACCGCAACTTATCGAGGCAGCACAGCGAATGACGATGCCGAAACATGCATGTGTTTAGACCAAAAAAAAAAAAACGCAGTCTGAGTTGTGACATTAAGCAAAGCAAAACGTCACGCTTGCATTGCTTAATGTCACAATTTAGACTGTATTTTTTGGTCTCAACATATGTTTCGGCATCGTCATTCGCTGAGCTGCATGCGTAAGTTGCGGTGATTGGCTGTCCGAGTGTTGCACGGGAAAGAACAAGCACAGGTTTTTTTTTGTTTTTCGTGTTTTTTTTTGTTTTTTTTAGTATAAACGTGTACTACAAACTTCGTTCTCACCCTGCGGGCGAGTCGTATAAAGAGCGATCGTCCAAAGAACGTCTGAGATATGGTGAATTTCGAAGAAAAGTGCAACTGGCAGCATATCTGGCGTCGCCGACAAAAAGATGTTTATTCGTCAGTGCCGTATGCCTTTAGTGGAGTTGTAAGGAGGACCAAAACAGCTTCGTTCCAGCGCGCGTGCTTCGTCAGTCACTTACAAAAAGCTCTCTGCGGTTTAGTGTTAACAAAGTTAGTCAGTCGGCATCGGCACTTTGGAATTCGACACACGAGCGCTGGCCTGCGAGTGTATGCAGGCGAGACATTGCGCAAGGCCGTCAGGTAGGAGTCGACGCTCCATTGTCCAGGCCAACCTGTTTCCTGGCGTCAAAAAAAAGTCTCCAGTTTTCTGTGTGGCACAAGGAGGGAAGCGATGAGTTCCTGCGGAGCCTGCTTCCGCTCGACTATTCCAGCGATCCCATTCACAAAATGGGGACGCCACAGTTACGTGATAGCCTGGGTACATCAGGAGGTATCAACCACGAAGATGAAATATACTCGAACAGGTGTAGCAAACTGTGCAAAATACAGGAAGTCCCAATTTTTTCGAATGCAGCAGACAAAATCATTTTATACGCACCGCGTCCACGCCGGACTTCGAACCAGCGTCATTCTAACTTGTGCACTGAAACAATACCGATGAGACAAGTGACACCACTTTTAAACTGACGCTTAACTTAGCTTTGGAGGCCCGTAGCCTTCAACTGCGGTTTATCAAAAGATGAAATGGTGTATAGCTAAATGTTTTGAAACTCCCAAGACTTTTTTATTACTTTCAAATACATTTCAGTGCAATCCTTCTTTGGTCACCCAAAAAGGGTAATATATATGTCTGTTGTCCAGTCTCCCTGCACGAGTAGATGAACTTTACTTTTTTCTTTCTACTTACTTATTGTACAACAGTTCTTTGAGATGAATGAGGCTGACGTTGGGTTTAGGTATATGGTAGCGCCATTTGGTTATGATCGGCTTTTATGGTATATCTTGTTCAGTTTTGACATAGGTAGTTCGGCAAAATAAAGCATAATTTACATTACAACGATTAATATTGTTGCTTACTTATATTTCTTCCGTAAGAAGGCGAAAACCGAAAATATTCGAGGAAATTACCAAGAAACTAATTTTCACAGCCGCCTAGGGAAATTGTTTTGTGAGGTTATATATTTCTTTACGTTGTATATTTTGATAAAAGCAAAATTACCGCAACCGGTGTCTATTTTAATATTAGAGTCGTGTCATATAACGCAATGACATTTGATGTAACATTAATTTTATTTATTGCGTCTTTGTGCCTTTTTGAAAAAAAAACTTGCAGTGGTCTTTTATTGAAGTTTTATACAACTAAAAGGGCATTTTATATAATTATAAAGTTTTATGACATAATTATAAATGTGAAGCGCTTGTGAAAAGTTGGTATTTGAAAAACGTTTACAAGTTACCACAATTGTAATTCTAATGTAAGTGCTTGACAGCCAAAAATTAAGTTATCATTTCAGTCACCTTCGAAGTACCTTCTTTTTTTATTATATATATGTGGGAACTACTACTGGTGTACTAACGAAATGCGAAAAGCGAAGCAAATGGCTTCGGATAAATGCTGCTCCACCCAAAGGGTAAATGGGTACTCACAGACATACATGAGAAGTTTTTTTCTTAGTTCTCACGTATGCTTCAGGTGGATTCGGGTTCTAATAAAATGCGAACACTGAGCAACAGTGTTCGCATTTTATTAGAACCCGAAATAGCATTCCCTATTTCGGGTTTCTTTTTTTACTATATCGTTGGTAATCAAAATTTTTCTGTGAACTGGTGAAGCGATTATCTTTCGTTGAATATTGCTATTATACCAAGCACTTTGTCGTTTCTGCACTCCGGAGACGAAATAAAAGTTCAAAAGTTTAGAACGAGCTATTGTAGCATGTGCAGATTTGATCCAGCGGCCGAGTTTCAGACGAATAAGTTTTTTTAACTCAATAGTTGGCACATCGCACATAAATGTTGCCTCCGCGGCACTAATTTTTTTGTGATGTATAAACTGACAGTCAACTTAACCATAATGCAATTGTGATTGTTCTTAAGTATGATTAATTCTGCCTTTCATTCTTTGTCATGCGTTTGATCATAGTTTCGTTGATTTGTCGCCAGAACTTCTACAACCTCAAGTTTGAGTTCGATTATTCAGATTATAATATGTCGTATGATTACGCCTATTATGACGAAAACGATACCACAAGAACAATAGAGCCTGAACTGGTAAGTGGCTCAAATCAGCAATACTAGTAATATAGAAATTATCTCAGATTTCTTCACGGGCTAAGTCTTTTTTCTCCTCAACACCATTGATCTAAAAGGTAAGTCAAAAGGTGCTTACGATTATTAAACAAAGTTTGAACAGTTTGAGTACAAGAGCAGCGAAGATTTCCCACCCAATATTTTAGTTTATATCGCACTTCCCAGGTGCAATGCATAGTCCTGATGCCGACATGTCATTACACTTTTAAGAGTAAAAAACAAGGCAATTTGTTTAGTTTTTATATTGACAATAAAACGTTTTTCAATAAAAATATCCGCCGCCAAATTATTAGATCTTGCTAAGTTTTATTCAGTTAATTACGCCAGATGCTGTTTAAGTCAGGCGAGCGAAAACCGTTTACAAAAGAGTTGTATGATGGTTTCAATAGTGAAGAGCAGTAACGGAAAGACCCTAGGCCTTCGTGTTAGAATTGCACGAGCCTAATAGTGCTGTCCCCAAACGAGCTATTTTAAACAAGTTTTTTTTTTTCTTTTTTTTTTTTTGGAGGGGGGGAAGGACGTTTATAGAGTTTACAATTATAGTTATTACGTATAGTGAAAGGGAAAGCGACGAGGTTCGGAGAATGGGAAGGTAACTTTTACCGCAAGATGGGAAAGCATGAATGTCGTTCATTCGCTCCCTTAGATCGTCTGCGGCGTACTGGCTTGGACGCCCACGTTTCGGTACTGCCACGGTAGAGGCCGACGGCCGAGCGCGATGCTCTCGTCAAGTGTGCCGCGCCGCGCTGAGCCCGAGCTGGGCCCTGCAGCCTCTCCGGAGTTTGCCAGCCGCTCCCTCCTACCAGCGGCCGAGCCGCTGCTTGCGCTGCGCCGCCACGGAGAGAGTTTCTCTGGTGGAGTTCCTTGGAACTACGCCCCGCGAGAGCCAATGGGAGCCTCGTTCCTCGAAACCATCACGCGCGCCAGCCAATAGGAGACTATCCATCATATCACTGCTCAGGCACGTAGCCAGGAGGGTGGCCCATAGGGCCCGCCCCCCCCCCCCCCCTTGAAATCTTCCAATTTGCTGGGACCTCCTCTCTCCCCTCCCCCTCATACAGCATTTCGTCATGGGCGCCCCCCCCCCCCCCGCCCCCCCCCCCCCCCCCCCCCGAAACAAACACCTGGCTACGTGCCTGTCGCTGCTACAGACGACAGGCTTCTCTCCATCGGAACAGGAAAGTTTAGGTGCCGCTTGACGCGGCTTCAAAAACTGATGCCGTCGGTTAACTCCGCGGGATAGTTAATGCTTTCGCATTAGTGTTGTGTTACCGTACGAAAGGAAGCCTTTATAATTGTCCGAAACAAATTTGACGTTAGAACTTCGGTCACACCTGGCGAAATCAGCATACGTAAAATACGTTTTGGGTCAGTAAATGCGCTTCTAGACTCATACCGTGACTTTCGACGAGAGCACCATTTAGTTTTCGCTATGGTCACGTGATTCTTAAACCAGCTAATGGGAGTGAAGTGCCATCCGCTATGGAGCTCAGATGTGCCGGGTGACATAGGGGATTAGAGGCTTAAGAAAACATCTTTCCACTTCCGAAAAACCGAGTGTGGCCATGCTAATAACAATGACTGCCATTTTCCTCATTAGCTTGCGTAGACGTATAGTTGATGGCTAATTTGTGTATCGGTAAAACAAGGGAGTATAGCGCGTGGCTCTGCCGACGACAGAACTCAGTAAGCCCGACAGGGGACTCGTTTGGCCGCATAAACCCAGATGGGTCATCCAGAGCCAAAATTCCCAAACGCTGATATCGACCAACGCCTTTTTTTAATCCTGGTCGTTCGTTAATTATTAAACTTCCGACACAAAACTGTTTTACTATTCTTTATCGCGTGAACCCGCACTGAAACCTCTGCAGAGAGAACAAAAAACTACCCATTAGATACTAACTGTTGAAAAATATAAATGACTAATTATTACTATTACTATTAATTACTATTAAATACTTTCCTGGACTTGTTCTTTCATGTGATGTCAGAGTTCATATATACGGTTTTATTTTTTTTTTTGCCTAGTTTTTTTTCTGGAGTAAACAAGTAGGAACACCAGACAGACTCAGAATTTAAAACAGAAAGCAATGTTGACCTTAAATATTTCTAAACTGGTACTTGGTCTGGGTGGTTTCTTTATTTTACGCTTAAAATTATATGAAAATTATGAAACAAGGTGGTTTCCTAAAATAGATCTCAAAGTTACAAGAAACTTACTTTTTCTGGAATTCAAACACAAATTAGCCATCCAGCCTCTCCTGAAAAAAAAATATTGGGGATGGCACATATGGAACATCAGCTTGTTATTTTCTAATTAAGAAAATAGTATCAAATTAAAGTTTGTGTTAAACGAAAAACTTTTTTTGAAAGTTCAACACCAGCGTAATTGGTTTTCATGGAGCTGTACCCTGCCTGCATTGATTAACACGATCGCACCGTTTGTAACTCGAGACATGACACATGTCTTATTTGGTTTTACTTAATCCACAACAACGTAGTTCAAGGTACATGCGATGTAGGGTATAACCTCGATGCGATTGGGGTCCGAAGGCATTGGCCTGTCTTGAATTTCCTAGCGGCACGTTTGTTCTGTTCATTGAAGGCATAGTTCGGTACCACAAAAACCAGTTACGTCGGTGCTCAGAAACAATAATATCTTTCTATTTTAAAAGAAAATTTAACTCCAATATATTTTGCTTTGTTGCAAGGGAACACACTAATGTCCATAATGGGCACTTCGGCATATTTTTATAAGATGGGCCTCTATGCTTAATTCTTGTCTGAAGCTTGATCCAACGTGAGTTTTTGGTAATTGAGTTCCATTTTCTGGAAAGTTCTTTGCTTTATTGTTTTAAAATAGTTGTAAGTGTAACGTATTGTAACAACCCCGCCTATATAAGCTTTTCAATCATTTTCAATATCAACAGTGCTTTTCGTTATAAATACTCGACATTTCTCGTGTTCTGACGGTTTTCTCCTGAAACACTGAAAAAAAAAAAAAACTCCAGCGTAATATGAATTCTGGCATCATACGAAATTACAATCTCAGCAAAGTATGTGAAAGTAATCTATATAACTTATTTTATTTACTTAGATTCTTTGGAGATTTTCAACTAACATTGAGTTCGGACTCGCTGCAGATGATTCAAAAAGCGCTCACGTGATCGAATTTTTATTTATAGAAAATTATTTTCGCGAAAGTACATTTAGAACTTACCAAACAACAACGATGTTTTTCAAAGAAATCTTTAATGTTCGGTATCACCGCCCATTACGTTTGGCATGGAATGACCAAGGCTTATTCCGCTTTCATTTTTCTTTCGGAAGGGCCAACTTCCGGGACAATTCTGACAGCAGATCAGCCGACGTTTGAAGTGCCGGCTCGAACTTAACTTTGAATAAAGACCAAAATGTGTAAAATATTGAGTACCTTCCGAGGCTTTTTTGTGACTCTAGGCTACTCCGGATGGGAGCTAAAAAAAGCATTACCTCCAGGGGAAAGGCACAGGCGAAAGTTCCCTCCCACAATAGATACAGGGGTGAATTTGAGTCAGAAATACGTCACGTGAAACTGCCCTCTATATTGTCAAGAATGACAAATGATGAGGCGAAGAATAGTGAAGGAACTGAACGTTTAATGGGGCGAACTTGTGCCCAAAACAAAATAGAAGTAAGTCAGCATCGCAGGCGTCATGTCGGCGAAACTGCAAGCTCGAGAGCGGGAGCGAGACTGACTTCGGCTCGCCATGCGGAGTCCTTTATGTACCCGCGTGGGTTTGCTGGAATATTCGGCGTAGAAGTTTCGGCGTCTAGAACATTCGGACCTCGAAGAAGCAACAGGATTCGGAAATTTACCACAACATTAAATTGCAAAAGTAAATAAAAGACGCGTCGCTCCCAGAAATTGAACCCAGGCTCTTCGCGTGGGAGGCAAGCACAATAATCGTTAGGCCACGGACGGCGGCTTACTTAGCCAACTGCGCGCGCGACATTACTTCATCCTTTTAAAAAGTGCATCGCCCCGATACAACACACACTAAAAGCAGATGAAAAGAGCAGCAGACTAAAGAGTCATTTGGAACACAAAGTTTACAGTCCTATCGAGCGTAGTACGGTTTCAAGCGCACGACGTGCACGACTTCAGGTCGTGGTGGGCGGCGTGATGATGTTCTTGTTTCGTCGGGCATCACCTCGTAGTTTAGATCTCCAAGTCTACGAAGTACCTTGTAGGGTCCGAAGTACCATTTCAGGAGTTTCTTGCTGAGACTACGGCGGCGAATTGGTGTCCAGACGCACACCCTGTCTCTGGGCTGGAAGTGGACGTTGTAGCGGCCAGTGTCGACACTTTGTTTTGCTTTAATACGGAGTCTGGCGAGCTAACGAACTTCTTCCGGCCGTTGGGCAACACCCTGGGCGTCGTCGCTTCCGTTGACAGCCGGTTCAAGGGGTAACATCTCGTCCAGCATTGTCGTTGCTTTGCGACCTTGAACCAGTTGAAAGGGTGTAAACCGCAGGTCTCTTGCACGGCCCTGTTGTAGGCGAATGTAATGTCGTCCCACGTCGTATGCTCTACGTCTACGCACAGTCGGGGACAAAAGTGCCCAGGACGTGCGAGCTGCGGCTGAAACGCATTGCTCTGCCATCTGCCGGCGGGTCGCCTGGTTTCGAGACCACACAAAAGCGCATGCGCGTCCTACTCTGCCTGCAAACCATATCTGTTTTCCCGCTCTTCTGCGGCACAGCGCCTAACTCGGAATCGGGCGCGTGGTACCGCCTCGGAGATAGCGCTGGCGGCTGACAAGCGTCTGCTACACATTCCGAAACTCGAGATACCACCTGGGGCATTGCGCCGCATTTCGCCGTGTCAGCGCACCTTGCTTTATAACCAGTTGAGCTCATCGCTCAGTTGAGCTGCCGTGACTTCTTGCTTGATAGGTGCCATGTCAGTAAGCGCTATC